CCCCGCCCCCGCCCTCCAAATACCTGCGAAACTCGACGCCGTCACCAAAATAGCCCGCCGCGCTCCACGCCCGCATAGTCGCACGATCAAACGGGCCATGGCGCTCAGCGCCATCGCGGCCATCCGCCCAGCGATACTCCCAAGCAGCAGCAGTGTCGCCTTGCGCGCTAGTATCCGCGTTGGAGGAGGAGGTGTTGCCAGAGGGGTCCGAGGAGGAGGGCTTGGGCTCCACCCATGCGTCGCCCGTCTCGCGCTGCCATTGCCGCACTAGGCTCTCCCGCTCCAGCTCGTAGATGTCGGTTTGGCCGCGCGTGAGCAGCTGGTCTGCGGCGCTGGTGAGCGCTTCGACGGCTGCGAGGCGCGCTGTTTCTGCTGCGTCTTGTGTTGTGCTGGTGGTGGTGGATGGGGCGTCCACGTCCATGGCGTCGTCACCCGCAGCACCCGCGGTACCTGCGGTCCCTGCGGTATCTGCGGTCCCTGCCGCCCCGCCCTTCTTCTTCTGCTTCCACTTCGGGACCTTCTTGGGCTTGGGCGGCGCCGCAGACGCCAAGCGCTGCAGCGCCTCCAACGGCGTCTCGGCGCGCTCGAGGCGCGTAATCAGCGCAGCGAGGATATCGGCGGTGAGGAGGGCGTCGTCGGCGAGGGCGCGGGCCCGCCGCGACTCCTCGCGCTGCTGCTCGGCCTGGCGCGCGCGCTTCATGTCGCGCTTGCGCACGCCGTCGAGCCACGCGTCGTGCTGGGCGTCCGGGTCGACGGCCTTGCGGATGTAGTTGCCGCTCTCATCGAAGCGGCCCTCCTCGCCCTCCTGCTTCATGTTGAAGGCGTCGAGGCGCGGGGCGTGTTTTTTCTTGGCTCCGGCGCCGAGCTCGCTGGCGTCGTCGTCGCTGCCTACGCGGTCGCGCGCGGCTGAGTCGTCGTCGCTTTCGCTGCTGCTGCTGCTGTTGCTGTCCGAGTCGTTGCCGTCGTCGGGGCCGGTCGCTTTGCTCTTGCCCTTGCCCTTGCCTTTGCCCCCGTCCATTTGTAGTTCTGCTGATACGTGCCCTCCGGACTTGCTGCTCGCGACCTGGCCCTCAATTTCATCCGCGTCGAGGAACCGCACGCCCTTGCGCGGCTTCGCCTCCTTTGCCTGCTCCTGGTCGTCGTCGCCGTCGCGAAAATCCTCGTCCAGGTCCGCAAACATGTCAGCCTCCTCCTCGTCCTTGCTGCGTGCGGCAGTGTCAGCGCGCTTTTCGGCGCGCGCCTTCTCCTCGGCGCGCGCATCAAAGTTCTCGGTCGACGAGTCCGAGTCGTAGCCGTCGAGGCGCACGGCGTTGCGTTTGACTTGCTGGCCGCCTTTGCCGATTTCGTCGAGCTCGAGGATGGCGGCTTCGTCCTCGTCGGGCGCGTCGGCGGCGAGGGTTGACGGGTTGCGCTGGTCGAAGCGGGGTTTTTTGGAGGCGGGCGACGAGGTGTCGGCGGGGAAGGGAAGGTCGGGAGCGCGTTTGGGGCGTGAGGAGGCCATTGTGTGTTATTTGTTGTTGTTGTGATGTGTGAGTGGTGGTGGTTAAGGTCCAATGGATTCCATGGTCGGCGTCGGCGTCTTTCGTCATTGTCGTGGAAAGCTGCAGTCAGAAGCTCCATCTCACTCTTCCTGCCAACTACACTCTTCATCTCCACCTCACACCCGTCATGGTATGCTCTCCCCTCGCGCCTCTCGCGCCTCTCCCGCTCCCGCTAACACGCTCGCCCAGTTCGGCGCCGGCTACTACGACAACGACGACCCCATGGCCATGTACCAAGCCGCCATGGGCATGCGCGGCGGCCAGCCCCGCCGCTTCGACGAGTACTTCCGCTGCTACCCCGTAGTCATGCTGCCAGGTCCGGAGCGCGAGGACGCCAACCACGGCGGCAAGGTGTTTCTGCCGCCGTCGGCCCTCGACAAGCTCACCCGCCTGCACATCACCTACCCCATGCTGTTCGAGCTGATCAACGGCGCCGCGGGCAAGACGACGCACGCCGGTGTGCTCGAGTTCATTGCCGAGGAGGGCAAGATCTATTTGCCATACTGGGTGCGTTAGAAGCTTCCTCTCGTTCTCTCTCTCTCCCACGTGCTGACACGTCCCTTCCTCGCAGCTCATGCAAACGCTCAACCTCGAGCCCGGCGACCTTCTACAAGTCAAATCGACCGACCTCCCGCTCGGCACCTTCATCAAGCTGCAACCGCAATCGCCCGCCTTCCTCGACATCTCCGACCCCAAAGCAGTGCTGGAGCAAGCCTTCCGCAACTTCTCCTGCCTGACCGTCAACGACATCTTCACCTTCGCCTACAACGACCAAGTCTACAGCATCGCCGTGCTGCAAGTCAAGCCCGACACGAGCAAACACGCCATCTGCACGCTCGAAACGGACCTGAGCGTCGACTTCGCCACGCCCGTCGGCTACGAAGAGCCAGTCAAGAAGCCGTCGGCGCCCGGTTCCGGCACCAGCACGCCGCGCAGCGTCGCCTCAGCGCGGGGCGTCGCGGGTCTCGCGGGCGGGACGCTGCACTCGGCAGGCAGCATGGCCGCAGCGATCAACTACGCGGCAATCGCGCCGCAAGCCGGCGCCGCGGCCGCGGGCGCGAAAGCGCAGAGCTCGAATTTCCTGTCTGCAGGCCACAAGCTCAGCAACAAGAAGGGCGGGACCAGCACGCCGAAGCCGTCGACGCCGGTGCCGGGCGCGTCGAGCAGCGCGGCTGTGCCCAGCGTCCCCGTGCGTAGGAACAATGGGCCTCAGCCGCTGCGGCTGGCGCCTGGAAAGCTGTTTTTCGGGTATGAGATTAAGCCGGTGCCGGGGAAGGGGGAGGGCGCGGAGAAGGCGAAGAGCGAGGCGGTCAAGTTCCAGGGGCAGGGGCAGACGCTGCGGAAGAAGAAGGGCGAGAAATGAGGGGTGGGACGGTGCAGGGAGGGCATGGACGGGTTGTTTACTGCGTAGCGAGCTGGCGGGTTGAGTGCTGCTGTTGGCTTGCTTCCTTACCCCCTACCTCTTCTCCATCGCCCAACCCTCTCCTCCGCCTTCACACCTACCCACCCCCTCCTTCCCCTCCTTTCGTGTTCCTCTTTTGCTTCCTCCATCATACATACCTACATACCCCACGCAACCAACGGGCAGCCGCTCTAGCGCGCTCAGTAGGGGGATCTCGGCGTACAGGCGTTTACGTAGACATTGACAATGACAAAGATATTGCAGTGATTGTGTGCATGTGCCACGACAAGACAAGCCGTGACAGCGCGGCGCGAGACCATGCGACCATGACAATGCGAGCAAGACCAAGCGAGCAAAGGCAAAGCATGCAAAGGCAAAGCGAGCAAAGGCAAAGCGAGCAAAGTATCCCCTACCTACCTACCTAGGTAGGGCTTTCAAATAAGGCTGGCGGCTGTACATAGAGCGCGCTCAAGCGGCAAGCAATACAATACACGAGAAATCAAACAGAGCACCAGCGCGGCTGGTTAGTGGGTGCGTGTAGCGTGTAGCGTGTAGCGTGTAGCGTGTAGCGTGTAGCGTGTAGCGTGTAGCGTGTTGTGCTGTATTGTATTGTATTTGTGGATAGAGAGGTCGGTAGGTAGGTAGGTAGGTGGTAGTATATGCTTAAGACAGACAGTGAGTGGCACGGCAAGGAAAGGCGCAGCGAACGGAACGGAACGGAACGGAACGGAACGGAATAGAAGGGAATGGAATGTGATGAAATAAAACTGGCGAGGGGAGCGGCATGTGTATGTGTGTATAAGGCAAGTAGGGTTATTTCAGCGGGGTATGTATATGCGCGCGTCCAACGACTCGTCTTTTCACGGATATAACACACGCGGTTCGAGCCAAGACAGGCGAGGCGGTACAAGGACATGAGGGCCTGGCGGAGCGAGGCTGGGTTGAGCGATTGATTGATTGATTGATTGATTGATTGACTGTTGTTTGTTTGTTTGTTTGTTTGGGGATTAGAGGGGTGTGCGGGTCTGCGTGCTGCTGCTATGTGCGCTGCTGGCTGGTGGTGGAGTGAAGACAAGCAGACAGCCTACAGCACCTCCTGCCCCTCCCCTCCGCCACTACCGTACCCACCGACGAAATAGCCCTCCCCCACGCCCACAACGCCCTTCCCCACCCTCACGCTCTCGTCCGGCTCCGGCCACTCGTCGAGCACGGCCGCCTCGCCCTCGAGCGCAAACTCAATAGCCGGGGGCTCATCCAGTCCGCCTACTTTCCCCTTTCCCCCCTCCACCCCATCAACATCCAACCCCAGCCGGTACGCGCCCGGAAACAGCACCCGTCGCCCCCGCTCATCGACGCGCGCCAAACTCCCCAAGCTGACCTCCAGCGCCGCCGTCCTCGTCTCCCCCGCCGCAATGTCGCGCAGCCGCGTATACGCGACCAGGCGGCGCTGGGGGCGGGGGGCGGGGCCGTGCGTCCCGGAGACGAATAACAGCGCGACGTAGTCGGAGGCGTGGGTTTTACCGGTGTTGGTTATGAGTGCGTTTGTGGGCAGCAGGGAGGCGGGGAGGGGGCAGAGGTCTTTGTGGGGGGTTGAGGGGGGGCAGGCGGCGAGGAGGGCGGAGATGGAGAGGGTGCTGGTGGTGGTAGTGGTGGTGGAGTTGGAGGGGAAAGAGGCGTTGAAGGTCGTGTAGTGCAGCCCTGCGCCGAAGGGGAAGGTCGGGCGCCCCGTGTACCACATGTACGTGCGGCCGGGGCTGGCACTGGCGCCATCCTCGCCGCTGCCGTTGGCAGGCCGCAGCGCCATCTCCGTCATCGCTATCTCGGCGATATAGCTGGCCGGGTACTGCGTGACGGGCAGTCTGCCGGCCGGCGCCTTGTCACCCAGCAGCACATCGATCAGGGCGTCGCCGCCCGCCTGCCCCGGCACGCCTCCCCACAGTATAGCGGAGACGTTTGGGTTCGCAACCAGGGGCGCGCTGTCCAGCTGCCCTGCGCCCATGGCCAGCACGACCGTGGGTTTCCCCTGCGCCGCCAGCGCGGAGATCATGTCCAGCTGCGGCGGGGACCAGGCGATGCTGTTGCGGTCCAGGCCCTCTGCCTCGACCGAGATGTCCAGCCCGCCGACATAGACGATAACGTCGGCGGCGTCGGCGGCGGCCCACGCGGCGTCCCACGAGTTGGTCGTCGGGTCGCCCTGCCCGCCCGGGCCGGCGGCGTAGTGCACGGTGAGGTTGCGTGCTTGGGCTGCGTGCAGCGGCGAGTGCAGGTAGGGGGCTTGGCCGGCGTAGTTGCCCTGCAGCTGGGTGGTGGCGTTGGCCCAGTCGCCGATGAGGGCGAGCGACGTGCTGGCGTTTAGGGCGAGCGGGAGGGCGCCGTCGTTCTTTAGCAGCACGATGCCTTCGGCTGCGGCGCGGTAGGCGAGGGCTTCCGCTTCGGGCGTGCTGACGTTGTTGAAGTTGAGTTGCCGGTAGGGCTGCGCTTCGGGGGGGTCGAAGTACCCGAGCCGGATCAGTGACGAGTATTGCCGGATTAGGGCCCGGTCCAGCGTCGTGTCGTTGATGAGGCCTTGGGCGTAGGCCCCCGGCAGGTATTTCGGGTAGTAGGTGCCGCAGTTGAGGTCTGCGTGCGGGTGGGTTAGTGGTGTGGCTTGTTGGAGTGGTGGTGGTTAGGGTTGGGGGCGTACCTGTGCCGGCGTTGAGGGCGTCGGCCACTGCCTGTTCTCTCGTGGGCGACCACTCGTGCGGCAGGTAGATATTCTGGATAGAGTCGCAGTCGCTCGTGACCCACTGCTCCTCGTCGGTCCAACCCCAATGCTCGCGCAGAATCGTCTGCAGCAGGTAGGGGTCAGCGCAAGTGGGGACGCCGTTGACGGCGTTGTAGGAGCACATGAAGGCGCCGACGTTGGAGTCGCGCGCGCAGCTCTGGAACGGCGGCATGTAGTACTCGGCCAGGTCCTGCGGCGAGATCTGCGCGTCGAACTGGTACCTGTAGTTCCCGTTCCACGTCTCGAGGTCGTAGCCCACAAAGTGCTTGCACGTCGCTACGACGCGCTTGTACTTGTCGTCCTTGTCGCCCTGCAGGCCTGCGATCAGAGCTCGCACGTACTGCGAGAGGTGGTACGGGTCCTCGCCCGGCGTCTCTGCAGTTATCCAACAATCAGCACACCGTACAACAAACAAACCAAACACTCACCCTGCCCCCTCCCCCACCTCGGGTCTTTATACGGGTTAATGTTCGGCGTCCAATAGTCCAACCCGGAGCGATTGGCATTATTGAACGCGCGCGCCTCGGTGCTCACGACCGTCGCGACGGCATGGATGAGCTCGTCATCGAACGCCGCGCCCATGAGAATCGGCTGCGGAAACGACGTGGCGTGGGAAAAGTCGCCCGCGTCCGAGAAATTGACGCCGTGGCCGGCTGCCACGCCGTGGAGGGCTTCGTTCCACCACTCGTAGGGCGGCACGCCCAGCCGTGGCACGCCGGGGCTCGTGTTGCCCGTGTTGTTGAGCTTCTCGGGGACCGTGAACAGCGAGATGAGTGATGCGGCGCGGTCGCGGGGCGCTGGAGGGTGGGAGGGGTTAGCTTTGCTGCTTTCTAGTCCTTTTTTCTCCTCTTTTCTGTTCGCTTTCCCGCTCTTCTCTTGCCAGTTGACAGAACGCACATACAGGCACTAGTATCGCACACCAGCTCCCCCTTCAACGGCCCATTGACACAATCCGGGAAAAGCGCGCTAGCCCCACCAGCCAGACACAGGAAGGCCGCAAGACCTGAGCGAAGCGGCGACATACTGAAAGAAGCACAAAGCCAGACAAGCGCGTGCAATGGCAATGTCAATGGCAATGTCAATCAATGCCCTAGGTACTTATACCTCTACAATTTACCCACACAGTCCGCCTCGCCCTAAGCAATGACGGCACTGCGCATGCGCATCTTTCTCCGCACCCGCGTCCCGGTGGAGACGAACGCGGGGTAAAAGCGCAGGACCCGGGTGCGCGGGCTTGGCTGCCGGTGCCCTGGTAACTACTGTATGACTGCCGCTGCCCTGCCGTAGACCTTGGGTGCCGGGGGCCTGTCGTGGGCTGCGTGTAGTGCATGTTTACGTGCCTGCCGTGCGTAGCGTGCGTAGCGACTGTACAGTACGGGACGTAGACGGTGTATCTGTGCGTGCGTGCGTGTACCTAGTTCTCACCTATGTACGCGATCTTGGCCTCCGCAGCAGCATAGCTCGCGCATCGCATACATATCTATTCAGCCTGAATCAATCTCCTCTCCTCGCAGCGACGACGGTACGGAGTACGGAGTACGGATTACATACATACAGCCGTCACTAGGCAGTCATCAGACAGGCACGCGGCGAAGAAGCCACGGCAGCGGGGTCGTCTACAGTAGCAAGGTGCAAGGATGATGAGCTTCTAAGCTCCGGGGCAAGCGAGCAAGCGAGCAAGCGAGCAAGCGAGGAGCCCCGCAGGACGTGACGTGACGTCTGCTATGCCGCGCATTTACCCGGAGCGCTTTGCTGACTGCTCTGCTTTCTGCTTTCTTCCATCTCCATGTCCATGTCCATTTCCTCCACTTCCGTTTCCATTTCCACTTCCACTCCGCTCGCACACACACACACACACACACACAATCTTCACCCGTGCACACACGCCCAAGTCCACGGCCCACGGCCCACGGCCCCACCTCGGCACACACAAACCACCTAGCTAGCAAGCTTATAACCCCTTTTCGCAACAAGTTATTTTCATGCGCACCGGCGTGGTGGCTGAGTGGTTATAGCGATAGACTAGAAATCTATTTCCTTCGGGAGCACAGGTTCGAGTCCTGTCCACGTCGTTTGTTTCATCTGTATTGTGTCTTGGATATGTTGGATATCCGAGTACTTTCGTTTTTTGTTTTGTTTTTCCAGGGTTTTGGATTTTTGGTTCCAGCGATTTTGCGTGATAGAGTTTCTTCTTTCTTCTTTTTCTTCGCCTTGGCTAGAAAGTAGGTTTAGTAATACGGTTTTAGGACTTATTTATATAGTATATTTATATACCTATCTCGCGGCGAGGTAGGCAAACGAATATTAAATAAATAGTTTTACTTTTTAGTAGTATATGCGAATAAACGTTAAAGATACATTTCTAGTTATTAGTATATTATATGTATAGGCCAAGGTAGGAATTAGGTATACGCTTAATATTTAAGTAGATAGATAGCAGTAGCTAGTAGAATTATTTTATATTAATCCTTAGTATAAATCCTATATATATCTACCGTAAAAGGTAAGTTACGTAGTATACTAGCGTAAATATAGAGAATAGAGACAGCTCTCCCGGTAGAACAGGGAAAAAGGTTTAAGAAGGAAGAGAGGTACTTCCTAATCGTACTTACTACAGCTATATAACTAACAGCAGCAGCAGCATTAACACTATCATCGCAAGCATCACCAGTGTCACCAGCATCATCAACAGCACCAGCACAAGCAGTAGGTAGGTAGAAGCGTATATAGCACCTAGTAAGAAACAACAATCCCATCGCCACCACTATCACCATTACCATAACCATCACCATCGGTCTCCGTATCCAAAAACAACGACAACAACGACGACGACAACAACAACAACAACAACAACAACAACAACAACAACAACAACAACAACAACAACAACAACAACAACAACAACAACAACAACAACAACAACAAC